GTGTGTGTGTGTGTGTGTGTGTGTGTGTGTGTGTGTGTGTGTGTGTGTGTGTGTGTGTGTGTGTGTGTGTGTGTGTGTGTGTGTGTGTGTGTGTGTGTGTGCTACGCTGTGAGTGTGTGTGTGTTTGCTACGCTGTGAGTGTGTCAGTACAATCCATCATATGCTCTGCTGTAGTAGCGGCAGACAGCCAACTGCCACTAAAACTCTTTCTGTCTAAAACACATTTGTGAAGCCAATGCATATTTTCACAAGTTTTTCTGTATGTTTAAAAAAAAATTTGATTATAGTGCCAAAAAAATAGCAGAGTTCCGCAGATACCATATAGCAAAACTATTTCCGTTGTGCAGGGGTGTAAGAAGTACTCACATACTTTACTTATTTAAACAAACATCTAAAATATGATTTTACAAGTACAATTCCTACATTTGAAATGTAACTTTGTACAGAAGGATTATCAGTAAGATGAACTAAAGTCATAATACCTAATCATAAGTAAAAGTAACTCTAAAATAAGCCACATTGGAATATATATCGGGAACATTTCAAACAATGAATATGGTAAATAGCAAGATAATAATACAAATAAGATAAACAACCTTTTGTAATTATGAATAACGTGGTGACAGATTTGTGTCAAAATGTGTTGAGGTTTGACCCCGGCATTACACATTTTTGTTGATCCTGACTTGAAGAAGCTATCATACCCTAACCTGTTAATGATTATACAGTATTCTGAAATGGTGCAATTTCAGACCATCATCTTTTGTTTAACCATAAATACTGTGAAAGTCTATAAAAGCTTTAAAAGCTAGTCACTGCAGTTTTGAGAAAACATGACTCAAACAGGAGTAAAGTGGTGTTTTTTTCAGCGGCGTAGTTATACACATTTGGTGCTCTAATAAGATTTTGGGTCAGCGGACGGTGTATTTAGGTCTCAAAATAAACCATGAGTGTCCCTGTCCTACTCTGCTTTCCTTTCATCTTCCTGTTTCTTCTCCATCCTTCTCCTCCTCCATCATTCCTCCTTTTGTCTACCTCCTTCTCCACACCTCGCCATTTTCCTTCTTTCCTCCTCTGCCCCACAGTCTCCTCCAGCGGGAGACATGGATGAATTATTCATGAGGGCAAACATAAATCCATATTTGAAGCAACTCACAGTGTTCAATAATTCATATGTAACCGTTTCAGCATAGCACGAGGTAGAGTAGGACAGAAATCCTTTGTTTATTAAAAATCATCCGTCTGCAATTCATCTTTTTTATTGCAGGTACTTTCGTCCAACAGTACAAAATATGTAAAGATATTCTGCAGTGATATCGACATATTTTATTTATGATTTCATGTTTCTGTAGTATGAAGGTCACCCTTGCAGATCTATTTGTTATTATTTATTTCTCTTATAATTAATGACTTGTCAAGTAAGATGTACTGAGTGTCCTACTGTCCTGTCTACAGTTTATTTATGTTTTTCAACTCAGTGATCTTTAGCTAATTTTAAAAACACAGCAGGTAAAATGTGCTGTGTCATTGCAAGTGTTCATGCTTGAAGATAAACATCAAACTCCACTTTCAGCGTTGTCTGTTCACTGTGGTTGCTTTTAAAGTATTTTTAGGACATTAAACTGTCTCAGTGCCTTTCCTGAATCGATAATAAAGCAGATGAAACAGGAGGGCAGTGCAGGGAAGGCTTGTGACTTTCTCAAAAAGGCTACATTTATGCATTTGAACATGTCCGCCTGCCCGTGGGTGTGCTGCGGAGATGCTCTGATTACGACTGTGTGCTAGCACGGGTGTGTTTGTTTTCCTGTGTGTGTGTGTGATCTCTATAAGGAGAGCTTCTGCTTTGATGTGTGGGTGTAATGATGTTGAGTTGGCTTTATCCAGACAGTCGGCGTCCTGTGTAAACACACACATGCCCGTCCTCATACACACACATACAAACACAAGTGTTGTTTTTATGTATGAGAAATATTTCCTTTTCTTTGATGATTCATGCTCTCTGCTGCTGTATCTCTCATTTGTTATACTGCCTGTGTGAATGGATATGTTTGCAGTAGGATGCAGTTGGCATCGTCTTGTTTTCTTCTCAGTTTGTGCTCATTAGCAGCTACATTTCCTTTCGATTTGTCCTTGAGCGAGACACTGAACTCCTACTGAAGCACTTAAACTCTCTTTAGAGCATGAGCTGACATGCCTATATTGAGAAATGGTTATTAGAAGGCCATTTTGCTTGTTAAAGCCCTTTCAAACAGGTCCACCTTCATGCTAATCTAATAACAGTTTAACAAGTTTCAATGGCCACTTTTACATTAAAGTCACTGCGATAGATCTTAAAATGTTATATATAATTATACTATTTTGGAATAAGTTATCTGAACTGGTTAACCTACAGTAAAGAAGTCATTTAGCTTAAGGTGAAACATGCAGAGGGAGAATTGTGTGTTATTCCTTTATTCTAAAACCACTGTAATAGATGTTAAAGGTCCCATGTCATGGCCATTTCTACTAATCATAATTCCGTTGTTGAGGTCTACTAGAATAGATTTACAGTGTTTAACAATGTTCCAAGATCACATTGGTTTCTCATACAGCATCTCTGTGTAATCACTCTATGTCCTAAACGGCTTGTTGGAGCTCCTGCCCCCCCCTCCCTGTGAGCCCAGTGTGCTCTGATTGGTCAGCTCGCCCACTATGTTCTGATGAGTCTACCAACGTTACAGCGGAACATCAGTGATTATGTGTTACAATGGCGTTAGCAACCAGAAAATGACACCAGTAATGACAAACAGATGAGAATGCTGCGTGGGGTCTGGGTGCTGCGTTGGAGGGACGTTGCAAGGAGCGGACAGTGTGAGCTGGCTTACTGGTGTGATTTCCTGGTTGCTGCGTGGGGTCGTCGTCCCGAAACCAGCCCAAGCACACACACACACACCCGCAGCCTCGCAACGTCCCGCCGTCTCAGATTGAGAAATCCTCGGAGCTGCAGCTGAGAAAAGATTGAGGTCCATTTGGACCAATTGGTCCATTTGGGTATGGTTACGTCACTGTACCCAGGAAGAAAAAAATAGAAAATGAAAAATGTCCAACGAGGCGTTCTGGGGCAGCACAGACAGGTATTTTCTGTGTTAGTTTTACTCGCTACAGGGTGCACTTTGAGGGTTTGTGACTCTGCAGACCGTTTACATGCAGACAAAGCTACATAACACACAAGGGGACGGGTAATAACCGGAAAAGCATGTCACGAGACCTTTAAATCTTTGTCTACGAAAACAGTTCGAAAAAAGTCAATTTTAACTTCCACTAATTTACTGCTTGAGCACTTAGGGACATTAAAATGTGCTCTCTAATATCTTTAAATGAGGAAACTGATGACGGTGATGGTCACGAGGGTCATAAATAAAGGCAGGTTATACATTCTAAAGCCTTGGAGAGATCCCCAAAATGGTGATCTTCATCTCTTTAATGCATTTGTTAAATCCTTGAACAAAATGTAATGTGACAGTGTATTCTTAACTTTTTAGATATTAAGTGAAGATTAAAAAGGTTGCTCATACATTCATGAATGGAGAGTTGTTTGTTTGCAGGACAAATGTAATATATTATTGTTGGTTTATTTTGTTATACCAACTTGTCACGATTTGTTTTTGGAATGTTGGAAACACAACCTAACTTCCTTTCTTCAGTTTGGCTGCTGCTAACCGTTAGCAGCTAACATGAAGTATTTACATTTTCCTCTTGTATTTGGTTCACAGGATGGGTTCACTCCTCTGGCAGTGGCGTTGCAGCAAGGCCACGAGCAGGTGGTTTCCCTGCTGCTGGAGAACGACACTAAAGGGAAAGTTCGCCTCCCCGCGCTACACATCGCTGCAAGGAAGGACGACACCAAGGCCGCCGCGCTACTCCTCCAGAACGACCACAACGCTGACGTCGAGTCCAAGGTACGCTCTCCGCACGATATACAGGACCACAAATCATCTACTCTCACAGAGGAAGTGATTGTTTATTATTTTAGATTTATTTGATTGTTATATTTTGATTGGACCTGCAAGTTAGCCACGTGCTGCAGTTTTACTACATTTCTTAAAGAATTTTGGGCAATAAGTGAGTTTTGAAATACGACATAACATGTTCATTAATGAGCTTTAAAGGTGATTGTAGTTAGGTTTTTAACCTTTAGACTGAGCCACGCGAACTGTTTCTCTCTGTTTACAGTCTTTGTGCTAAGCTAAGTTAGCTAACATTCAATATTCACTCCAAAGTATCCTAGAATTTAAGAACTGAACAAACAACACATTTAATATTATATAGGCCTATGGCAGTGAATTTACTCATGGCATCATGGGGAATAAAGAAGGAGGAATACTTTTTTTGCTCTTCTGTTATTAAAATTGAATCGAATGTGATTTTTTTGTTGGTTCCAATAATGAAAGCATTTAAGTCCTGAACATGTTTTCTCCGGAAAAAAGTATTTAAATCTGTAACAATATACAGTAACTAAACTATAAAGAAAAGTACAGTATTCATTTATATTAGAGGAATACATTTGTGTCACCTACAGACTCTTTACAGGTCCCATGTCATGGCCATTTCTACTGATCATAATTCCATTGTTGAGGTCTACTAGAATAGATTTAAATTGTGCAATTTTCCAAACTCACATTGGTTTCTCATACAGCATCTCTGTATCGTATGTGTATTCACTCTCTGTCCTTAACGGTTTGTTGGAGCTCCTGCCCCCCCCTCCCTATGAGCCCACTGTGCTCTGATTGGTCAGCTCGCCCACTCTGTTCTGTTGAGTCCATCACCGTTACAGCGAAACATCAGTGATTATGTGTTACAATGGCGTTTGATAGCAACCAGAAAATGACACCAGTAATGACAAACCGATGAGAATGCTGCGTGGGGTCTGGGTGCCGTGTTGGAGGGACGTTGCGCGGCTCGCTGCTGCGAGGAGCGGACAGTGTGAGCTGGGTTCATTTCCTGGTTGCTGCGTGGGATCTGCGAGACAGCGAGACATCACGAATGGACGCGGGAAGGGGGGGTTGCTGATGGGGCTGCAGCACCCCCATCTGCGAGGCTCGACTAGCACCCGCACACAAAAAAAAGCATGACATGGGACCTTTAAGGGAGAGTCTCAGTCCATCATCCAGTTGTGTGTACCTCGGTTTGGTTGCCTTTTAGTCCTTTTCATCACTCCCAACATTTTCTCATGTGTCCATCCTATGCTTGATGAAGCCGTGGTGCTGGTGTTGTAGTTGTTGTGGTGCACTAACCACCCCATTCTCTCCTCCTCCTCCTCCTCCTCCTCCTCCTCCTCCTATTCGTTTCCTATTGTTACCCTACCGCTTCCCTTCTAGATGATGGTGAATAGAGCAACAGAGGTACATCTTCTCTTGTCTTCTTCTCTCCTTCCTCTCCTTTCAGTGTTCACTCATGGTCACCATTGCAAAGCCTTCTGTCTGCTAGCATGCACCGTAAATGCTGGCATGAAGCTTTCGCTGCTGACAATGTCTCACCTGTGCACCTGCTTTTTTTTAAAATCTGCATCGCATTTTTGACTTTGCTCTATGTGCATCCAGTGGCTTGCAGCTTTTTAGCAGAGTTTTAATAAATGCCATTAGATATACCTTTATATATACTATATATATATATATACATAGAGCTTTTGGAAACATTTCACTTATGAGCCGATCAAGCCGAATTTGATCAATACAACAGCAGTCCTGTTGGGGTTCTGCACTTTGATGTACTTGCTTACATTTTTAACATGAAATATTGTTTTCTCCTCCTTTATTTCACGAAAATCAGTTTTCATTGACACAAAAGAGATAAGGAATGAAATCTCTAATGAAAACAAAGAACTGGTTCTTAATGTATGGTATGCTTACGGTAGTTATTCTTGTCCAATGCAAAAAAAGCCTCATTTCCATTGAAATCGATTGAAGCATTGAATCAGTCTTTTTTAACATGAAAAAGGCAGCAGTGAACACTTTGCTGCAATTTTTGTTCACAGACATGCTAAAGGTATGAAGGCCTAAATATGAAGCCTGCTCAGGCTTTAGGGAATGGTTTGATATTTTGGGAAATGCTCTTTATTTGCTATTTTGCAGAGTATGATGAGAAGATTGACATCACTCTTATATTTGTGTGGTAAATGAGAAGCTAAAGGCAGCAGCTTAGTCTAGCATTACAACTTGAACATGATATATCATTTGTTTGATCCATAACAAATGTAATTGGAAAATAGATGTCCTGGGAGTCTCCCCCTAGCTGTAACCAGACTGAATCCTAAGCTAACTGGCTGCTGGCTTTAGCTTCATATCTTCCATACAGACATGGGAATGATATTGATATTTCTGTCCAACTCATGCATTAACAAGAATAAGAGTATTTGCCTGATATGACACTGTTCTTTTTAGGTCTTAAGAGAATAATTAGCATATTGCAATATTGAATTTTCAACGATGAAAAAGTTATTTTTCGTCTGTGGTCCGGCCAGAAAATGACTTGCATGTGTTGCTCAAGATCATTAAACCATCACTCTCTAGGTTTTTATCCTCTTTACCGTAAATGGCTAATTACATGTGTTTAGCAGTTATAATTACATTTGTCACAGAGTTGATGTTTTTGTTCTTTCCCCCCGTTACCTTTTTCCGCCCACAGAAGAACCTTTCTGTAATGTGATCCTACTCCAGTTACAATTACACATCTATTAAGTGCTTTTGCTCTCACACTGCTTAAGACATTGTGTAGACTGTATTGCTTTTGTCTGAATTAAGTTAAATGAAATGTCAGTGCTTTATACCATCGAAGGCTCTCATTTAGCTGCCAATGAGAGGACAAACTGTAGGGCTGAAGTAAAAGCAATGGGTTCAGTTGAACTGCATGCCAATAGATTTAATTAAATTGCATTTTTTTTTTTACAAATGTGACATTATGCTGACTGTCCTTTGAAAAAAATGCTTAACTGTCACTGTGCCCAGAAAGCAGTTTAGTCAGCTTTCTATAAAGTAGCTTCTTGGTTTAATTTTGTTATAGCATGTTGACCTTTCCTATTTGTTGCTTTGGAAATGGAAGTGATTTATTAAGTCTGAAAAAGATCTGAACAAATTAATGATTTTGGATGAGTATTTTGAACCCATTTACATGAATTAAGCAGGTTTATGACCCATTTAAAGGTTTCTTTAGGTCAAGCCTTCCAACAAATACTTCCTTCAAAGCATCCTTTTTAGAACAACATACCGTACTTCCTATTAAATCAATATTGTCTTTGATTAATGCAGAAGCACGATTAACTGCATGTCAAGATTTGCAAGATTCTTTTCTGTTGTTGAAGGAATCGAGACAAATCCTAAATAGACATTTTAATAATTGCCTTTGCATGTTTTTTATTTGACATGAGCTCAATGTGCTATGTTTGAATATAATTGTGGTTCTATCCACTACACAGCTGACCTATGTCGCTGCAACTATCACTCAAGAAAAGTAGAAGAGTATTTCTAATAAGATGTGAACCCACGACTGAGAGCATGTTTGACTTCTGCTCAACCTTCGTCTGCTCTATTAGCCTGCTTTTGGCCAAGCTGCTATTTAATATCTCGTTATGCTTTGCTCGCAGCTCATTGAGAGAGTTATGTTTGTATTCCTTTATTCTCTCTTTTAATTTAATGTGTCTATCTTTCTGTCTCTCGTCCCCCTCAGAGCGGTTTCACTCCTCTCCATATTGCGGCTCACTACGGCAATATCAACGTAGCAACACTCCTGATGAACAGAGGGGCAGCTGTGGACTTCAAGGCAAGGGTAGGTACTTTGCTTCAAAGAAGGCAAACACACACACACATATTCACACACCTTTTGAAGTCAGGGCTTCTGCAAACACTCACTGTACGACTCTCATATGAGAGGGCGGGACGATGTGTGTGCAGGAATCTAACACGTACACACGTAATCCTGCAGCTGTGCCTGTCACTCTGCTGGAGAACATATATGAGATGTCAGTCTGCTATAGGATCCTACAGACAGGAGCAAAGGATGCTGGGTGTATGGCTGTTTGAGACTGAGTATGTCCCAAATACTGTAAGCAGGGGTAGAAGAAGATGTTTAACTTATTTAGAATTAACTTCTTAATACTTAGTCCTCATTTTTGATGTTATTTAAGTGAATGTACTGAATATAAAGTTTAGAATAAAATCCAGCCTGTCCTTTTAGATTGACTCCTGACTGATTTTGGAACAGACTGTTCAACATAGAAGCAAGATGCACCACAGATTTAAATGTGTTTGTAAATCCTTTGGGGTTGTTGTGTGTCTCTTTGAAGTTGTGATGCCTCTCTTTGAGGTTTGTGTCTCTTTGTTGTTATTTTTGTGTCTTTTTGTAGTTGTTTTGAGTCTCTTTGAAGTTTTTTTGTGTCTCTATGTAGTTATTCTTTTGCCCTTTTTCAGTCTTGTTTGTGTCTACTTGCAGATTTCTTTTTGTGGCCTTTTTGTATTAGTTTTATGTTAAAATTATAGGCCAAGGTTAACTCCTGACACTTTGGACGCCAGTTCCTGTTACCTGTTGGCCTGTAGCCTTTTTCAGAAATCTATCCATGCATTTATTGTAGAAAATGTCAAATCATTTAGGTTATTTTATATTTGTGTGACCTTATTTAAAAGACATTCTTGCAAACATCACTGTGTATCAGTCTGTTTTCAAACAAATATGAGGATACAATTGTACCACGTACAATAATACAGTGCAGAAGAGTGTCTTATTGAAACCTCCCCCTCCTCTTTACCCCTATAGAAAAAACTAGAATGTTAAAACCACTTTGAGGCTAAAGCTGCTTGACTGATAATGTTCCCCTAGAGGGGGATATTTATCTAGTTGCCTCCTACACTGGCCGTTTCTCAATGTTGAGTAAAGCTGCTCCAGAGACACTATTTCAAGTATACTACATAATCGAGTGGCGCCGAATCACTGTTTAAATGCCCAGCATACATGTGCTACCAAGCAAGTCTCCTCGACATTGAGAAATGGCCACTGTCACATAGAGCCCTTTTTTGTTGAGTAGGCACATTTTAGACAAGGGAGATGTATTAAAATGCTGGAGACACGGAGACAGGCTGTCTGGAATGTGTTGGAAGGTTTCATTTTCAGTTAAAATTTGTTTGGAAGCCCATTGAATGCACAATGTCATTATTCATTTTTAAGTTACTTGACATTATGTGAGCAAAAACAAAGTTAGGACATTTAGTGTAGTGTTACTATTGTTATTTATCCTTTCTCTTAAAACAAATATGACTTGAAATGGGTGATACATTTCTGTGTCTTCTTGTCTTTGTGGCTGAATAAGGAAATTATGCTTTTTCTTTCTCAGAATGACATAACACCACTGCACGTAGCATCCAAACGTGGGAACGGCAACATGGTGCGACTGCTGCTGGAGAGAGGGTCCAAGATAGATGCACGAACCAAGGTAAAAACGCATCAAAAATCTACATTTTTTTTACTGACGTAAATATTTGTTAGGTCTCCATCAACTCAGCAATACACTTCTATAAACTTAGCGACCAGCAAAAGACAGATACAATAAAAAATATTTAAACTTAAAAGCCCCTTGCGTCTTAATCAATTCACATCTTTGAACAAAAGAAAAAGTATTTCAAGGGCCCGAGCTTTGTCCATTTATCCTCCAATACAATAGTAGTCATACAGTATTATATCATCATCTACAGCAAGTCAAACGGTGGGTCCCCCTTTTGTTTTGATAAGGGATTCTACCAAGCTATAGAACACCATATCATTCTTCTAATTCAATATCACCCAAAAACCTCCTACAGTGGTTTGGAAGTGACCTGCAGTGCATTAGCCCGTGCATTGAAGGCTTTATTGCATTGCTTAGGGACACTGTTAATAATAGTATGAAGTGAACTGTGCCTGTGCTGTTTGTTTCTCCCAGGACGGTCTGACTCCTCTCCACTGTGGAGCCAGGAGTGGCCATGAGCAGGTGGTGGAGATGCTGCTGGACAGAGGAGCTCCAATACTATCCAAGACAAAGGTACACCTCCAACCTTTGTGTGTCTCTTTATTTCTCACCTGTTTTTATGACTCTACTTACTGTTTCAATTTCACTCTGGCTCATCTACTCTGACAAACCCTCTTACACAGTGACGAATTACTAAATGGTGAAGAAATTACGAAAGAACTAGCAGAAATGCTAACACCACTCTATTTCGTTGTAGTTCGTTGAGGTGGAGCCATTTTCTAAGAATTAACTAATGATTATTTCCATAAATTCACCTGCATCTTATTTCCATTATTATTCAATCAAAGGTTTGGTTTGGAGAAATTCTGAAATTAGTAAAAACTACAATCATAAATTCTCAGAAATCATATTGACACCATCAAAATGCTTTATCCAACCCGTAGTACAATATTCCCAATACTTAGTAATACAAGGAAAAATGCTTTGGTTACACATTTGTGAAGCCAGAACCATGATGTGTTTTTGCATGAAAAATGATTAATATCAATAATAATAAATAGTTGTTGATTGGTGGTCTATTAATGGTACATATAATTTGTACTTGATTAACTGTACTAAATGTCATTCCACAACTGATGTAAACTACAGCTTTATTAACTGGTGACCCTATTCCCTACAGAACGGTTTGTCTCCGCTCCACATGGCAACCCAGGGCGACCACCTGAACTGCGTCCAGCTGCTGCTGCACCACGAGGTGCCTGTGGATGACGTGACCAACGACTATCTGACAGCGCTGCACGTGGCGGCACACTGCGGACACTACAAGGTGGCAAAGGTGATCGTGGACAAGAAGGCCAACCCCAACGCCAAGGCTCTGGTGAGGATACAATGATTTAAGACCGGAGACGGTTGACGCTCTCGAGCTTTGGAAATCATCTCAACAATAGTTAATTATCAAGTCTGGATTTGTTTGGGGGAACAGAACGTTTCAGGAAAATAGACAGAAACAGAGAAGCGGTAAGATGGTGGGATGATAGACAGATCTTGCCCCCATTTCTCAAAAGGGTTACCAACCTATCAACTGTATGTATCATGTAGGTCAGTGGTTCTCAACTGGTGGATCGCGGACCCGTTTCGAGTGGGCCGCAGATGTGTGAGTGAAGAAAAAATAAATAGAATTCTTTCTTTTAAATCTTTTTTTTTTAAAAGTCAAACTTTTATTTTGAAGGCCCGATTTTCTAACGCTTTGCATGCAGAGTAGGCGTTGGACTGGAAGTACCGGAGACCATAAACGGTTTTGAAAACTTCTGTCACGTAGTGATCATCTTCTCAATAAAACATCTTTGCTGATGTTTTTTCGAGTCTTCTGGCCAATCAGAATCAAGATTGTTGCCTGAAGTCCCCAAAGAGAAAAACTTTGCGGTATGACTATTCTTTATACATCCATGGGTACATCTTCAGATAAAAATGAACACATAAGGAAATATGACCCCTGGTTTGATGATAGACAGGTCACAGAACAATGGGAGCTATTTACCCTTACCCACAATTTAAAGTAATTCACACAGACTCTCTCCTCTTTACTCTTCTCTCTGTGAGGAGCAGCAAGCTGTTAGAACAAAGTGAAAAACAAACAATGGCATCAAATATTAGTAATATGTCGGGTAGTAATAGATGTATTTATTTTCTTCTCAGAGTGTACCAGAATGCGCAGTTTATATGTTAGTATTTCTAAAAATCTCCTGGGGGAGAATCCCCCCAGACCCCCTACTGGGGTTGGGTTTTCAGCATGTGGGCCTTTTTATGTTATACAGTTCAGCTTTGATTCCATCATCTCATTAAACCTTTTTTAAAAGCATACTTTAGTTATGAATATACATGAATATTGTATGCTGAAAAGCGTATATATTACAGCACAATTTGTTGTTGAATAGATTTGAGTGGTTCAACATTTCGGGGCGCGATTTATTGACAAAGGAAAAAGTGGGTCCCAAGGCCTGACCAGTTGAGAACCACTGATGTAGATGATGTCACTGGGAGGTAGCCATTGGTTTGTGGACTGCCTTTCAAAGTCTTGAGTTTTTCAATCTGACTGTCACCATCTTGGTTATTGGCCATTGCCATCTAGCAAACAGAAGTATCATGACAGACTGGAGCTACAGTCGAATACACCAAATAAACTTCCAATGGGTTGAAGTTGTCAGACTAAAAAAGACCCAAACCGTAAAACGCTATATTGGTGACACTTCAACAAGGTACATCAAACCATACACTGCTTTATTTTCTATTTGCTCTAAATGGGAATATAATTCTCAGAAGGATCTTTATGCTTTATTGAAAAAGATTGACACTAGTGTTTAAGACTATAAACTGGTCGATGAAAAGTATATTAAGTGAATTAATCAAGTTAAAAATAGGGTAATTTTTTCATCCGACTTCTTGTTTTCTTTTTACCTCCTGCTGGCTATTAGAAAGAATGCAAGTTAGGGCACTTTGATTTAAGCTTAAATAACACATTTATTACAGCAACCTCAGGGATCCTATATGAATATTATAGACATGTTGTGAAAAAGTGATATGCACAAACAGGTTTTTAGAGAGGAAAGAATGAAGAAAAATCAAAGTATAAAATAGATTAAAGCAGCAGTGTTGCTCCAGGTTGTGGTAGTGGCAGCCTTTTAGTGGCTCGAGGATTTCATCTCCCAAAATATCCTCCCTCTTTTTTAAGTCTTTCATTTCCTCTCTCCCTCCTTTCTTTCCTTTCTTCCTCACCTCCCCCATTATCTCAACTATTTGTCTGTTTATAACAAAAAGAGAGTAATAAGAGACTTTAATGGAGAAGAAAAGACACGTGAAGGAAATGAATGAAGGAAGTAAACAAGTTAAGCAAGACTAAAAAGACACTTATACTCTGTTGGTGTAAGACAACCATCTCTGTGCTGTAATGGGAGAAGTCTGGGTGTGGTTAGAGCACTGGGACTTTATAGTTAGAGAGAATGAGACGGAAAAAAAGGACACAGAGGAAAATGAAGTCATAGGATTGAGCCAGAAACCTCAAAGTGAAGCGAGGGGGAGGGAGGGAGGGGGCACAGTGTACAACGTTGGCAAGAGAGGAGTAAGTTGTACATAAAAGTATCTATTTCAGTGCAGCATACTCTTTCTTTTTTTACAGCTTAAAATCCAGTTAATTATTTCCACACATGCTTGTGTAGCTTATATGCAGACAAGTGAAGAAGAAGAAAAAAGGGAAAGAAAGAGGGGGAACAAGCAAAGGAAGTCCCGCTTTGTACTGTACGTTCCACTCGGTGTTCCACACTTATCTTCCACCAGCTCAGCAAAACCTGCATGGGAACCCACACAAACTGTTTTTGGACTATTTTTAAACTTAACATGTTTATATTTGTTATTAAATTCCTGTGTTTTTTAGAATGGTTTCACCCCCCTGCACATTGCCTGTAAGAAAAACAGAGTCAAGGTGATGGAGCTACTTCTGAAGCATGGAGCGTCGATACAGGCAGTCACTGAGGTACGTGTGAGTGTGTGTGTGTAGTGTCATTGAAACACAATGACATCAGTGTTTTTTTTGTAATCTGTTTTTAGTTATAGAATCATGTTAAGTACATGTGTCTCCACAGGTGTAACGTAACCAAGTATACTTGCTGCATTTAAGTACATCATACTAAATAGTATACTATGTAGATTATACTCAAACACATTACTACTCTATACTCTGAAACTGTGTCTTCTATTTAACATTGCTGCTTGATTTTAGAACAGCAAAGCCAAATTCTGTTGTTATTTCCATTCATTTCTCCCTTGCTCTGTGTGTTTCTTCACTCTACAGTCCGGTTTGACTCCAATCCATGTTGCAGCGTTTATGGGACACGACAACATCGTGCACCAGCTGATCAACCACGGGGCTTCACCAAACACAAGCAATGTGGCAAGTTCTTCCTTCTTCTTTTATCCTTCATTGTCCTCCCAATTGCCATATGTACAGTCTATTGATAGGAGCTATATTTAATACGGAGCCTCATAAATCATTTCAGCTCATTGTGTATCTATCAGACTTTTCTGTTCGGGTTCAAATGTTAGGTTCACGGTTGTTTTCATCATGATTTACCTAAAAGCTCAACAGCAGTTACAGGCTGAACTGGTGAACATAGTAGAGTATTTAGCTGCAAATGAGTGGGTGGAGACCAAACATAGAGCTAAAATAGAGTGCGAAAATGTCCTACATTTGTCCAGTGGCCACAATCACTGCTTCAAATGACTGATGATAACTTTTGACACTCAAAAAGGGATGATATGCGTACGTGAAAACTGAAATGAAAAGTTAAAACAATATATTGCATTGTTCCCCTGGACCCTTGAGATTCTACAATGTTTGGTAATTTGAGGCCTGGAAAGTGATTTAATTTATATATTTTGTTCGACAATAGAGACTGCTCATTCCTGGAAGTGCAATTAAACCTTTATAAATGTATACAATACTTCAACAAGCATTAACAACAGAAAAGCAATATTTCAATATGCTCTTTTCTCATCCACTGCTGCTGTGTTTTACAGTAGCAGAGCATGCTAATTAGGATAAAAAACAAAACCGTATGAAGTCTAACTGTTTATCGTGTCTCAAACTATGCCATGTTGCATCCTTGAACTTAAAGGTGACCTATCATGCAAAATGCACTTTTGTACGTCTTTTATACATGAATATGTGTCCCCGGTGTTCCAGGGAACTCACCAAGTGTCAGAAAACATAACCCTCTCTATTTTCCTCCATACCCAAATCTCTTAAAAAGGGGCTGCAACGGATCTGATACAGACTGATCCAGATTTGAACACTTCTATGACGTCACAGAAGTGGCGCTATGGCTATTCGGCCAACTCAACCAATCAGGAGGAGACAACCACAGGCATTGCCATTCGAAAGCGCTGGAGACGCTGTAGTACATATGCCAGGCCTGTAGATGGTGCTGTTCTCACAAAATCAGCCCATGAAAAGACAGTGTTAAATTGAGCGAAATGAGGAATGGCTAAAATCCATGATCTGTTTGGTATCTTGAAAAATAAAAAGTATAAATATACCTTATATAGGTATGGTCCTACACTATATTATTCAAATATAGCATGATAGGTCCACTTTAAGGGAATTGTACCTGGAAAGTCCTTGGCTTGGGATCCCTGATAATGAAACATAGAAAGCACAGTCATTGGAACAGACAACGGAGAAAAGCTGTGTACTTCAGGAGGGAGGAGAGGAAGTCTATTAATGCCATGTGTATGTAACCAGAGGACCTCTCATTCTCATCTACTCTATAAACACTTTTTGATGTGAGCTGGAAACTCTAACTACCGACCCTGTTGACTAATTGAAAGAACAAAAGAGAAACAGAAGAGAAGGACATAGGTAGAGGAAGAGTTGAAAGAGACAAAGTGGGTAATGAGCAAACAGAGAGGGGAAAGAGTTCTGCACGCTCAACTCTTCAACCCCAAGAATTTGGTCGCCCACGCCGTGTCTGTGGCCAGGTTACCGTAGAAACGGAGCATTATGGGACGTCATTATGGAGGGTTGGGTGTGGAGAGGAAGGGGGCTCTCTCTCTCCCTCTTTCTGCCTCCCATCTTAACATAAGGAGAGTTTTTATGGATTAGAATATTCAAACTTGGGAATAACTATCATTTCCTTTTTTTCTTGTGTGTGTTGCAGAGGGGGGAGACAGCGCTCCACATGGCAGCGAGGGCCGGACAGTCTAATGTGGTCAAATATCTGATCCAGAATGGAGCACGGGTCGATGCCAAGGCCAAGGTAGTACTCATGTGACTTCAGAAAACAAATGTCCCTTTTAAACAAAATGTAGTTTTGATGAGCTTTACTAACTGTTTCCATACTTTAGTCTTCCGCTCCTCTGCGTTTTAGAGGCACATTGTAGTTTTTCCTTTATTTGACCTTTTATGTTAATCAATATTATAGGCTAGAGACCTTCTTTTTTAATAAAGGGCTGGTTTCAGGCTGCCCTTAAACGTCCTCCTGGGTCCTACATGTTATGTTACTTTGTTATTGTATTTCATTTTATTTGACTCAATTTATTTGTATTTTACATTCTATCCTCTAATGTTATTATAGTCCTGTATACATTTTATCTTTTTAATTAGCCATTCTCGTTTGTTGATCTGTAAAGCCAACTAACACATTGTGTTTGTTGTCACCAGGACGACCAGACACCGCTGCACATCTCAAGCCGTCTTGGTAAGCCAGACATCGTCCACCAGCTGCTGACAAACGGAGCTTTCCCAGATGCCATCACCAGCTCTGGATACACTCCGTTACACCTGGCTGCCAGGGAGGGACACAGAGACATCGCTACAGCGCTGCTGGACCAAGGAGCCAGTCTGGGAATCATTACCAAGGTAAGTCTGATTTGTGGGGATGCATACGTCTTGGATATTGGTTATTTTGATAGGTTGATAAGAAGTTACATGACCAAGTTACATTGATTTGCTCAAAGAAGTAGACCAAGAGGATTACTGTTACCTCTACTCACATACTGTACAAGGACACACTGACAAGACACATGCTGGTCCAAACAGAAACTTGGATTGAAGACCATAGGTTTTAGTTGACTTTCTGCCACTAAGTGAGTGTCAAAGTAACTTTTCCAGAGCTTAAAAAGCCTTTGTGCATCATTAATTTCCTTACATCCATTTAAACCGCAACAGAGCACATGATGGCCACAGTTTTGACTTTTTTGATCACAATTGGAGGTTTGTGATGGTCAAAGTTTCTTAAGGGTACAATATGTACATTTTCTGCATTAAAGTTTCTTCTATGACTAGACAGACATATTTTACAATTTTGTTACGGTTGTAAACTGACACTGAAATTTGAAACGTTTCCAACAATTTATAAATTTAGATACATCTTTGATTCTTTTTGTCACCTTTAATGGTTGGTTGTCTGTATCGTTGTCCAGTTTTAAGACACTTTTACATCATCAGAAATCTGGATGTTAAGCTATCAGAAAAGCTAATAAAAAACACTCAAAATAGAAAAAAATAAATAACTGAAAAGTAAAATAAATACATGTTGACAGTGAAAGATAATATCTGTAGACTAACAAATAAACGCAATGAAGGGCATTCAATGGGAGAAGCGGAGCCGGAATGCAAATGGGGAGAACAACAGCCCAAGCTACTTTATCACTGCTTCTTTTTTTATTGTTATGATACAAACACCCCTAGTGGCGGAAATATAATATTATGATATTCAGGGTCTTTAAACTAGGAAGGCTGGATTCTGTCAAGTCCCATTAACGATGTGTCACCTCGTTCAACATGCCCATGTGAACACTCACACAGAGCCAGTTCTATCTGGACAGAGTGTGTTCATGGATCCGCATTGCCTCATGGCCCAGGAATCTGATGTAACACTCGTTTCCACACCCTGGGCCCTTATTCAGTTTCATCATTTTCAAGCACCAAATAATCAGTTCCTCATGTAATGTCATGACATAACCTTGCAAATGACTCAATTATAAGTAATCAAACCCATATGGCTCAGTGGCTATTAACTGAAGTGTTTTAACAACAATTGTAAAAATTGGATCAGAGTTTGTGATACATTTGGTTTAATATTCTTGTCATGTCGTTGTGTCTCTGCAGAAGGGCTTCACTCCGTTGCATGTGGCTGCAAAGTACGGCAAGATCGAAGTCGCCAACCTGCTGCTGCAGAAAAACGCTCCGGCTGATGCTGCTGGGAAGGTAACGCATTTTGAAGCACTGGTATGAGAGAGAATGATGCTTTAAGAGCACAAAAAGAGCTCCCACATAAAAAAATACCTACAGTAAATATGTTTTATAATATTATGCAACTCACATGTGTATAAATTAGCTGCCTTCATGTTTGTTTTGTAGCTCCACTCAAAGCTTTCACATTTTTCTCCTCATCACTGCACAATATTGTATGTTTATCACGTTCTAACAATCTTTGTGTGTGTACGCTCAGAGTGGACTAACTCCACTGCATGTGGCAGCACACTATGATAACCAGAAGGTGGCGCTGCTCTTGCTCAACCAGGGAGCTTCACCACACGCCGCTGCAAAGGTAAGAGCCAGTCAAAGTGCGCCACATTGAATGTTCATTAATGCATTGATGCACCAAAACCACTCTCTCACTCTCTTTGGCTCTGGATGAAAGCAGGCTGACCTAGTTTCAGTCGCCCACATGCAATTACACCATGCACTATAGCTGAGCGTTGCATTGTGATTGGCTGTCTGGAATCCCCTCTTCACTCTAACAGCATCCATCCAGAGAGGACTGCCACTGAAATTAGCTAGGCCCCAATCACTTTTACGCACATAGCCAAGGTTCTCAGGCAATCCCTGGACATACAATGACGTTAGTGATTATTTTATTAGACACCAGGGCCGTTTCTAGCTTTTTGGGGGCCCTATACAAGATGCTGTTTGGGGGGGGGGGATTCCGAAGCCTTTAAGATGATCTGTGGAGATGAATCAATCTGTTACACTTTAATATGAAAACAGGCTAATTTCACGAAAACCAAGCAATTGAATATTACAAAAAATGATATTAAAAAGGTAAACAATAAGGCTCCTCTGTCAATAAATGCAAGAGATGCAGCATTTTCTCAACAATGTTTAATTTACATTTTTCATCTTCCTCAGACGTCACTCATTGGCTGACAGCCCAACAATGATTTGGACTTTATTACCCCAAAAACACAAGCCACAGCTTTGCTATCATTGCAGTTTAGTCGTGTTTATATCCTACATTGGATGTGTAAGCATATAATGCTTCAGCGAACACAGGAGGGGGCTTGACTGTCTACAAATAAAGACGGCTCATTTTAATTCTCCCCAAATACAGGACTGTCTCAGAAAATTAGAATATTGTGATAAAGTTCTTTATTTTCTGTAATGCATTAAAAAACAAAAATGTCATACATTCTGGATTCATTACAAATCAACTGAAATATTGCAAGCCTTTTATTATTTTAATATTGCTGATTATGGCATACAGCTTAAGAAAACTCAAAAATCCTATCTCAAAAAATTAGAATAGTTCCTCAGACCAAGTAAAAAAAAGATTTATAACAGCAAAACACAATCAAACATTTGAAA